CAGTACAGACCCGTGTCGTGATGCCTGCCTCTCACTAGATCGGTTTCGAGCAGCCGGGGCGCCGCCTCCTTCAGTTCCAACTTCCCCGGCAGCGAGCTGAACTGGCTTTCGTCTGGTTCCGTCGTCAGGAGCTGTCCCACCGGAGCGCGCAGAGCGTCATCACCTGGTGCACGGACATGGTGAACCAGCAGCGTGTCATCTCGGTGGAGCGCCGGCAGCCGGCCGGTGGCTATCCATCCTAGCCGCGTGCGCACCGCGGACGGGCTCCCCGGTGGGCCCTCTCGGACCTCTCGTGGCACGATCAGACCGAATACATCGGCTCCGAGCAGGATTTCAACTACCTCCGAGGTCGCTTCACAGAGGTCGATGTCTGCCAGATGTGGCCACTTCAACTTCTCCAGCGGCCAGTTCACCGCCCGTCCGGATACGTTCAGCGTTGGAGTTGCTTGTGCGTTCGTCACTTCGTAGAGCTCGCCTGACCCCATAGGCTGCACGCTAAACGTAACTCGTCGTGACGGCCTGGCCGTGATGCGATCGACCGTAGCGATCCGCAGTGGCTGTACTGGCCCTGTCAGTCCCAACTGACCCGCCAGCTTCTCCGTTACCAGCGATATCTGGCTTCCCAGATCTAACAGGGCATTCACCCGGCGGCTACCTCCCGGCCCGTGAGCAGTAACCGGCACCACCTGCAGGATCAGCTGGGTCCTGCCGGCTGCCGGCGCTCCGTCAGCTCCGGTGACGGTCTGTGTGCCCACCCGGGCGACTGAGTCCACTGTCCCGTGACATCGGACGGGTGCACGCTGAGACTTATCACAAACGGCGCCAGGAACACTCGGGGCGGGCGCCGCAGCACTGTGAAGAAGATGGTGATGGTACCGGCCACACCCGTTCACAGTACATTTTCTTCTCAGCTTGCAGTTGCGTGCGACGTGGCCAACCGCTAGGCACGAGAAGCACGCTCGTGCCTGCGTGACAATGCACATTCGGTCGCTCAGACTCATGCGCAACAGCTCCTCACATGAGTCTAGCCCGTGGCCGCCGCCGCAGCAGCCACACGGGAGAGAAGGTGCCGACACGACAGCAGACACACCCGCCATACGGGATACAACAGCCTCCCCGGTCATTCTGTCCCGATCTCCATCTCTACTGTTGCTGCTGAGGCTGTCTTGACAGACGTCTCGGCGGTCATCCTGCACTGCACGCGCAGCCAGCGCCTGTCTCCGTAGCCATCTGTCTAAGTCGCCAAGAGTCGGCCGCACAGGCCTCTTTGCCAGAACTTCCTCTCCCCACTTCCAGGCGAGTGACAAAGGCAGCTTTGAGACGACTGCTGCGACATTGGAGGTGGCTGCGAGGTCAGCGTGGTAACCCATCGACCGCAGCACACTGACGGCGGCGTGCAGGCCGCGGGACAGCTCGGCCAGACCAGTCAGGCTGTGTTCCGTCACAGGAGGCAGCTGTAGCACCTGACGAATGCTGGACCTCACAACCGCTGTCGGATCACCAAACTGCTCCTGTAGCTCGCGGAGAGCTTCTCCGTAGAGGGAGCCGTCACACAGGAGGCCACTGACGGCGTCTCGTGCCGGCCCTTCGAGACACGTCTGAAGGTGGGTCAGTCGCTCTGCGTCAGAGAGCTCGCTTCGATCGTGCACTAACGACTTGAACAGAGCGCTCCACCTGGGCCACTGCAGCGGGTCACCGTGAAACTTCTCCAGCGCCAGCCTCGGTAGAGGAGAGGGTGCTGCAGCCGTGCGCTGTCCCGGCTTAACCATATCTGGGCTGGTGGAGGGAAGCAGCTGGTCGATCCAGGAGCCAAGCGGCGTTCTCTCCGGGGAGCAGGCCCGGCTCCCCAGCTCGCTGATCCAGCGGCTGGTGCGATCGGCGGCAGTCACCGGTGCCGCGTCACACGGCGGCTGATGATCCGTGACAGCAGTGGGAGGCGGCTGTCCGGCTGCCGCGGGCGACTGCACTCTGGAGTCGCCGCCGCCACGCACACGCTCGTCATCACCATGGTCATCACTTCCATTCCGCTCGTCTTGTTCAATGAGGTCCGCCTCCGCTTCGAGAAGCTCAACCTCGTGAGCAAGCGCGGACTCTTTCAGTCGCCGCTCAGCCTCCTGAAGCTGTCGCTCCAGCTCGCTTCGTTGTCGCTGCTGTGACAGACGAAGCTTGGCCAGCTCTGCCTCACGCCTTACCGTGGAACTTCTCGACGAAGCCGACACGGCACTGCGGGTTTTCAATGATTCCGTAGTCATTTTACATATTTACATTTTACATAGGTATACGTAGTCATCATACTCATCTTACACGTATATCATTCCAAAAAAAAAGAATAAATCCGGATCCATTAGAATTACTGATTACTAAAGATCCGGCCCGGAGGACCATGTTATAAACTTAAAATCTCTTTTGAGGCCGATGCATTGTATTTAAAAGGTATGCCCCGTCAAAATTAAAAACAAAACACACAATGCCTACATTTTTAGACAACAACAACCTTTCTTTCATTTTGTCCTACATTTCGAAATAAAATAAAACACGTGCTGCACGAACTCGGTAGCCTAGGGAACCACCATATCGACAACACCCTATTATCTTTAATACATGTAAGCTTTGTTCGCAACACTTGTGAACACGGTTTGGCATACTGGCCACGAGAGTGGGGAGCACAGACGGCTGGATTCGTGACCACGCAGACTTGAGCTGCGTCTCCAGCTGCGCGAGGTTGGTTGCTGGCGTCTGTTTGTCGAGGTCTTTCTGGACGATCGCCCACAGCTCTTCAATGGGATTTAGGTCGGAACTGTTCCCCGGCCCCTTTTCCTTCACCCAGAAGTGCGGCAGGTTGTCTCAGCACCACTGCTGGGCTGTGGCAGAGCGATGCGCTGGAGCCCCTTCCTGCATGAAGATGGCTTTCGACCTCTCAGCCACCATCCGTCGCTTCAGAACAGAGCCATTTCTGGGAGTTCATCCGAGATGGTCTCCACATAATACTTGGTGTCCACCTTCGTCTTGGGCGGGATGACATGGAGCAGCTCACTGAGCATGTGCTGGGCGGTGCCTAGTAATACGCCGCACGCGAGTGTGATATTATCTTGCGCTAGGATGGTCTGACCTATTGGGCCGTTGATGGGATTTGGGAGGTCGAAAAGAGCTTTGGGTGAAGAGTGAAGTGAATGGAAGTAATGTGGATTATTGGGTGATGTTGTGAGTGTGTTTGCTTAGAAAATATATTAATTCGCTACAAGCTATTTCGGCTATTAACGTAAAATGGCAGGTTTACAAATTAAGGATTTCTTGCAGCCGTTTGACGGATCCGGCGATGTAGTGCAGTGGCTAACGAAAGTAGATGTTGTTGCGAAACTACGTAAAATCAAGAATGTCGCAGAAGTTATTCCTCTTTTCCTTGAGGGTGCCGCTTTCGCTGTGTATAATGAGATGGCAGAGGAAGAAAAGGTAAACGCGGAGTGCGTCCGACAAGCACTGACTGTCGCGTTTGCGACCAACCCCTTCCGTGCCTATGAGGAGATGTGCAGGCGAGTGTGGCGGGATGAACCGGTAGATGTGTACCTGACGGACCTCCGGCGGCTGGCGCGCCTGGCTGGAGTAACTTCCGATATTCTTTTGCTGCGTGCGTTTGTCGTGGGTCTCCCAGCAGCTGTATCAAGAGAGCTGCGTGCACTGCCAGGCGTGGAGAGGATGCCGCTCTCCGATGTTGTGGAGCGCGCTCGCTGTCTGGTGGGAGAGCTCGTCGAGCGGCCTGTGGTGACCTCTGCGGCTGCAGTGGCACGCAGAGGCGTCCCGCGTAAAGGAGCGGTTCGATGCTACGGTTGTGGGGGCCCCCATCTTCTACGGTTTTGCGATGCTGCTGTGAAGACACCACTGTGTTGCTGGAACTGCGGGTGCGAGGGCCACTTGGCCAGAGACTGCCGTGTGGGAAACGACGCGGGGAGAGCTGGTGCGCCGGCAGCTCCCCCGCAGCAGGGTTAAAGGCGTTGCCGATTGTTCCAGTGGCTGTCAATGGAAAAGAGTTCCAGGCACTACTAGACACAGGTTGCTCTCGAACTGTAATCGCCGTGTGGACAAGTGGGGCTCTTCGGCGTGGAGAACAAGAGATAGTGACCGTTGATGGCAGTCGAATTACCTGTGCTGGAACAGCGTCAGTCACGTTGAAGGTCTATGGGAATGTGATAACAGCAGATTGTGTGGTGGTGAATCAGCTGCTCAGAGGTGTAGACGTGGTGCTGGGCATGGATGTGTTGACTCGGTTGGGTGGAGTCAAAATCGATGGTGACGGAGTAAAGCTGGCATGTGGAGCTGACAGCAAAAGAGACGCGTACACTGAGGAGATCGCAGCAGTCGGGAGAGGCGTGGAAGCTGCGGCTGCGTCGTCAGTGACTGCTGAAGGCAAAGATGATGCCGACAACAGTAGCGCTTGTGAGGGAAGGAGACAATCACCCGGAAGAGACGAGATATCTGGGGCTACACCGTCGATGGTTGTTGAAGATCAGGATTTTAGCGCCTCTTTCGACGGTTGTAAATGGACCGTGAGCTGGAAGTGGAAAGATCGCGCACCAGAATTGGCCAACACAGTAGAAATATACCAGAGCACCTTGAATGAGGAAACAGAAGAAAAGTTTGAAGAGGAAATCCAGAAGTGGATTGAGGCGGGCTGGCTACAGCTACAAGAAGGCGAGCCTACTGGTGGCGTGATACCGCTGATGGCGGTCATGCAAGAGAACAAAAAGAGGGTGCGTCCAGTGTTCGACTTCAGGGAGTTGAATGAATTTGTTGAAAATCATACGAGCGGGGACATTGCAGTGTGTGACGAAAGCATCCGAAAATGGAGACAGATTCCTGAACCAGTACGCACACTGGATTTGAAATCAGCATACCTCCAGATTCATGTAGACTCTTCTCTGTGGAAATACCAGCAGGTCAGGTTCAAAGGGAAGACATATGTTCTCACGCGCCTAGGTTTTGGCCTGAACTGTTCTCCTCGAATCATGTCGAAGATCTTGAGTGAGGTGCTGGCACAGGACAGTTCAGTGCAGAGCGGGACAGATCACTTCATGGATGACATCATCGTGCAAGAGAATATAGTCACCGCAGACCAAGTGGCGGCTCATCTGCAAAAATACGGTCTCGAGACAAAACCACCAGAGGCGCTGGACGGTGGACGTGTGCTGGGTCTCCAGCTGAACCGTGACAGCCAGGAGGATCTTCAGTTCAGCAGAGGCAATGAGATCCCTGTCATGGACGCGTCTGTGAAGCTAACACGCAGAAAACTGTTCTCGATCTGTGGTCGCCTCACCGGTCACTATCCGGTCTGCGGGTGGCTCCGAGTGGCGTGCAGCTACATCAAGAGGAGAAGCGAGGGTGTGCGATGGGAGGACGATGTCGGAATGGATGTGCGTCTGATGACAGAAGAGCTTCTTGAGAAGATTCAGGAGCATGACCCTGTGCGAGGCCCATGGCTGGTGAAAAATGAAGCAAAGCACGGTCGCGTTTGGTGTGATGCGAGTAGCCTGGCGATGGGGGTCGCGCTGGAAATCAATGGAGCCATTGTAGAAGACGCAGCCTGGCTGAGGAAAACAAAAGACTACAATCACATAAACATCGCCGAACTAGATGCAGCAGTGCGTGGTGTGAATCTAAGTCTAAAGTGGGGACTGCAGTCGGTAGAAGTCATCACTGACTCCGTGACGGTTAAGCGGTGGCTGTCTTCAGCGTTGGAAGGAAACTGCAGGATAAAAGTCGCAGGGATGTCGGAACTGCTGGTCAGACGTCGCCTGGGTCTCTTCAAGGAGTTGGTGGATTCGTATTCGCTGCTGGTGACAATTCAGCTGGTAGAATCCAAGAAAAACAGAGCTGACATCCTCACAAGAGTGAGCAAGCGATGGCTGGTCAGAGAAAAGGACAAGGACGTGTGCGCGGCAAATGTCGAACTGCTACACGCGGAACACCATTTCGGAGTGGACAAGACGCTCTATCTGGGACAGCTGGTAGATCCTGAGCTGACGAGGGCAGAAGTTGAGCAATGTGTGCAGCGATGCGCCCCATGTCAGTCCATCGACCCATCACCAGTCACTCATGAGGGTGGAAGTCTAGCTGTCACAGACAACTGGTCACGTCTGGCAGTGGACACGACCCACTTCGGAAACCGCTGCTACATTACAGTAGTAGACTGCGGTCCAAGTAGACATGCGATTTGGAGGAAAATTCGATCAGAAAACGCAGAAGATGTGGCCACTGTGTTAGAGGAATTGTTCAGGGAACGAGGTCCGGTGGATGAACTTCTGTGTGACAACAGCACCACGTTCCGCTCTTACAAGCTAGCGGAACTGTGCCGCCAGTGGAACATCCGACAGAGATTCCGAGCAGCATATCGTCCATCTGGCAATGGCATTGTAGAGCGAAATCACAGGACAATCAAGCGCATGGCCTCGCGAGGTGGTATCACCCCACTCAAGGCAGTTTTCTGGTACAACCTGGCAGCAAAGGACGGAAGTGACCCGAGCACGGCACCAAGCGGGGGGATATTCACATATCGGTGGCGCCATCCGGAGGCCCAACCGAAGGACCCGGCTCTGAGCGAGGAGAGGATGACTCATGAGTACCGTGTCGGTGACCAGGTCTGGGTGAAGCCGCCCGGTGCCAGGTGCACTACCCGCTGGTCTACTGGCCAGGTGACCGGTTTGGTGTCGGGCAACACTGTGCTGGTGGATGGTGTACCCCGGCATGTGCTGGACGTTAGAAGGGTAACGCCAGAGGGGGGCAGCTAAACTGACGTGTATAAGTGGTGTATGGGGTAGATAGTGATGTTGTGATGTGGACATCAAGGGGGCATGTGCTGGGCGGTGCCTAGTAATACGCCGCACGCGAGTGTGATATTATCTTGCGCTAGGATGGTCTGACCTATTGGGCCGTTGATGGGATTTGGGAGGTCGAAAAGAGCTTTGGGTGAAGAGTGAAGTGAATGGAAGTAATGTGGATTATTGGGTGATGTTGTGAGTGTGTTTGCTTAGAAAATATATTAATTCGCTACAGAGCACTTAATGTGACACCGTCCCCCACACCATCAACTTCGCTGGGAATTTGACAGGAGCTGTGGGCACACTGGCTGCGTCGGGCGCCCAAACAAATGCGGCCATTCTGGCGATTTGGTGGGTGTTAAGTGCTTCCACCACCTTTGCACTGGTCGGAGAGGGGCGCCGACATTATTCGCGACCAGACTTTGTGACATTCCCGCTTGAATCATGCTGATGGCTCGATTCCTGAGACTGACATCGTAATATTTGACCATGGTGTTTTCAGCCTTCATTTCAACTGCACGCTCGCTACTCAAATGACCTCGCACAATCAGCCGCTGACCCTTAGGTTATCTGTGGTCTCATACCCCGGGGCACAATAGATGCGCTGACACAATGGCGTTGGAAGCAAAACGCTGGGTGGGGCAAAACGCGCATGGGAAGACACAGAAACTAGAATACCACATACGACAAGACTTTTGCCGGACCCTGTATATCAGAGGTCAAGATATTGGGTCTTGGATGCGTAAACTGAACGAAGTGGCCCGGAAACACAACATCAGCGGTGGGAATTTAATCTTAAACCAGACCGCCTTTTCTCGCCACGTGGAGATACGCGCCAGATATGACTCACAACGAAACCAAACCGGATTTGAGCTTATGAGAGGGTTCGTCAGGGGCATTCAGGCCCCAGTTATTTGCAGGAGGTGACCCTGAAGCTTTTCTGAGGCAATTTAATCGAGTGGCACGGGCCAATGGATGGAGTGATACCCGCAAACTGGACATACTCCCTGCTTTGTTCGTGGGAAGCTACGAGTGGATAGCTGACCAACTGGATGCAGAGTGCCCAGCCACAGTGGAGGAGGCTGGAAGGATCATCATTGAAAAGTTGTGTCCAAGAGAGAAAAGAAGAGAAATGCTACATTCCCTCAACGAACTTCGGATGAAGGAAACAGATGAGCTTCGAGCGTTTGTAAGTAAGCTGCAGGAGATGCTTCATGCAGCCATGCCCGATGTTGACAAAGAAACTAGAGATAACCTGGTGGTTGAGAGAATCCCGAAGGCCGTGCCAGATAAGTGGCAGCTACGGCTTCTGGACATGGATACTTATTCCGTGGAGGCATACATCCGCAAGTTGGAGAGGATGCAGTCAGCTGAGAAGATGCAAAAGGAGTTCCGTGGCTCTGACACTGTATCAGAGGCTCCGCAGGCTCATCCTGTGAGTCAGACAAGGCAAGGTCCTGTGGGTCATGAAGGTAGGAGGACACGTGGGCCCTGCTTCGTGTGTGGTAAGATGGGCCATCTGGCTGCTAACTGTTTCAAGAGAGTCAATGGGCAGCCCATGAAGTGCTTCCAGTGTGGTGGAGTGGGCCATTATGCCAAGCAGTGTCCAAGTCCAAGAAGCCCAAGAGGAGCATCAAGTACCTCTACACCGGAACCGAAGAAACCCGATCAGCTGGTCAGAAGGGTGGAGACTGCTGTCCCTGTGGAGGTAAGGGTTCCCGCTGTATTGCAAGGAGTCGAGGTCCCTGTAACTGTTGATACGGGTAGCCCGATCAGTCTGAGATAGAGCCTTGGTCTGAGGCCTGTTTCACTAAAAACGTGTATTTACAAGTGTTTGTAGTTTACAATTCATAAGTATTTTTACCACTGAACTCTAATATATACTGGAAGGAGCATTGGTGACTTGTTTTTGTCTATCGATTTCCGCCATGTTGTGTATACCAGAAATATAAATTGCATGTACGGTAGCAGAGGTGCAGTTTAGTGAGAGGTACACTACTCAAAAGTGCTGCTGCTTCATGCTTGCAGTTTGATTGTAGTGATCAACTTTTCAAGACTTTGGTATACACAACATGGCGGAAATCGTTAGACATTCTGGCCCATATACGGCCAAGGCGAGTGCCTCCCCCTGATTTTTACCAACTACGTAAAAACCGATTTCACTAAGCTTCATCGCCAGTGGCACCTCCGATAAGAAAATGTTTGCAAATAAATTTGTAAACAGTAAAAATCAGTAAAAATGTTTTTAATCAAGAACTATAGCATGTTAAAGATATTGCTTCTTTGTATCAAATATTGTCTAGTATTCATGTCAAAAGCTGCCTAATTAAATTATATTTAATGATGCTGTTGGAAAAAGATATAAATGATAATTCACATTGTCCTATTATTGTAAGAAAATAACACGCAAAACATTTGACAGCAGAAGACTGTTGAATGCAATTATGGCGCGCGAATGACAAAACTTGACGATATTTTAATACCGATTATTTTGCTTCTTAGGGTGTGTGCTAAGTAAAAATTGAGCATGAAACGACTCAACAAAGCATAGTTGTTCTAAATATATGACTGTTTGCATTATTGCACAAAAAGTATCAAAATTCCGAACGTCAGGACCACTGGAATTTCAGGTTTGTAATTACGATGTCTTCTTTCAAGTTTCTGGTCTTCGTGAAACAGAAAGTTTGCGATTCCCATGTTTTCTAGCAAACTTTTTCTTGTAAAAAAGTTTGCAAATTCTAAGCTCAAAATTTATGTTCAAAGGTTTCGTGAAATCCGAATCTCAAATGTTGGTAATTATTTCTTGTAAACTCAAGCTTTTTCTTTGTAAATACAAGTTTTATTTGTTAGTGAAACAGGCCTGAGATCAGTGAAACGTTAGCAGTCCAGCTGGGGAGGAGTGGACCAGTGCGGAGGAGGAACTGCGGGCAGCCAATGGGACTGCTGTCAAAGCCCTGGGAAGGACGAGTTTAGAGATTCAGATTGGAGGTAAAAAGATGGTGCACAGTTTCATAGTGGTGGAGGACATGCTAGACTCAACGCTTGTCGGACTGGATGTTCTGCACAAGCTGTTTGACCCTGAGGATGTGGAGGGTGTACAGATTGCTTCTGTGGTACACATGTCAGGCTCAGGCATCCCTGTACGCGTTATCAACCATGGAGATGAAAGCGTGATTATTCCAGCAGGCACAAAACTGGGAAGCTGTGATCCGGTGGAGGTGACAGCCTCATCTGGAGCTGAAGGTGGCCTCTCACCGTCAACGACATTGAAGCTGCCACAGGTGAAGTGCGACAACCCGGCTGAGGTGAAGCAACTGCTCCAAGAGTACAAGGATGTCTTCTCCCAAAATGAAGAGGACATAGGAAACTACACTGGTAAGCACACCCTAATCATTGATGCAGGGAATGCCAGACCAGTTAGACAGAGAGCTTATCGCACACCGATCCATCTCAGAGACACCCTAAGAGCGGAACTGCAAAAGATGGAAGAACAAGGTGTCATTGAACCGTCTTCGTCACCCTGGGCATCACCCGTGGTTTTGATCAGAAAGAAGAATGGCAAGATCCGTTTTTGCTGTGATTACAGGGCAGTGAATAAGCTCATCAAACATGATTCCTATCCATTACCTCGAGTTGAGGACCTGTTGCAAGCGACACAAGGTTCAAGGTTCTTTACCGTGCTCGATCAGAAGGCAGCCTACTGGGCAATCCAAGTGGAAAAACAGTCGAGGGAAGTGACTGCTTTTCTCACGGAATTTGGACTTCATCAGTGGGTCAGACAGCCATTTGGGCTCAAGACCAGTCCTGGGGTATTTCAGAGAGTGATGGAGGATCTCCTGGGGAGCATGAACTGGCACAGAGCTGTAGTATATCTGGATGATGTGATTGTCTTTTCAAGGACCATGAAGGAGCATCTGGAGAGCCTGAGGGAGCTGCTGCAGAAGTTTCGTGAGGGCGGCCTGAAGCTGAATCCAGAGAAATGCTGCATCGCTGCTTCAGAGGTGCACTTCCTGGGCCATCACCTGGATGCTGAGGGTATCCACCCTGCTGAGGAGAAAGTAGAAGCCATCCGCAACTGGCCTGTTCCTGGGAGTCCAAGGGCTCTTCGTCAGTTTCTCGGCTTCATGGGATATTACCAACAGTATATCCCCGACTACAGCAAGAAAGCGGCAGTCTTGACCGACCTTCTGAAACAAGCAGCACCATACCAGTGGACACCAGAATGTCAACAGAGTTTCCAGAACCTGAAGGATGACATCGTGAAGTACAGAGTGCTGAAGTTCCCAGATGTGGAAGAGGAGTTTGTCCTGACTACTGACGGAAGTGGCTCTGGCTGGGGCGCGGAACTGAGGCAAAGGCAAGGAGTCATCGCCTTCGCCTCAGGGAATGGTCGACTACCGAGCTGAACTGGTCAGCGACAGAAAAGGAGCTTGGAGCGGTGGTAAAGGCAACTGAGAAGTTTCGACATTACCTTCTAGGGAAGCCCTTCAAGCTGAAGACAGACCATCAGGCGCTCAAATACTTACACCAGTCGAGGCCGCCAACTGGGAAGCTATTCCGCTGGCTGGAAAAACTACAAGAGTACGACTATGTGGTGGAACACGTACCAGGTCCTTCCATTCCACACGTGGATGCCCTCTCCCATCAGCACAGCCCCATGGTGCAGACCGAAGTGAGGTCAAACTTGCGAGCATCCGCACCTGCCTTCGTGCCCAAGCGGAACCAGGAGCTGAAGGCGGAGGAGCCAATGCACCTGCAGACCCGCTGGGTGAAGGAAGACACAGCAACTCATCAGCCCCTGCAGGACGGCCGGGGTGAAGCAAGTTGCCACCAGATTCACCGAGTGACGGAAGACACGGTGGAGCAACTTCAGACGGACCGCGTTCCAGATGATGGAAGCACAGACAAGACAACGGAAGACAGAGAACGATCCGGCAGGCAGTGTCAAGAGACCCTGTTCTCAGCAGACT